GCCGCCCGTTGCACCCACCGCGCGCCCCCTCCAGGCCCCCAGGTCCCCCGAGCTCCCGGCGCCCTCCAGGCCTCTTCGCACTCACCTTCCTTGGCTTTCTTCCTCCGGGCCAGGGTCCCCCCGAGTTTCCCCAAGAAAGAGTCGTCTTTCTTTCGGGACGGGGGCGACTTGGGGGTGGAGGACTTGGGGACCGAAGGCGACTTCTGCGGGGAGGTGGCCATGGTGTCGGAGCGGGAGGCCGCGGGCCGAGCTGGACGCGGAGCTGCAGCTGGGCTGACGCGGCAGCGGGACTGAGGCTGCGGCTTTCCAAACGGAAGCGGAATTATTCCAAGCATTCGAGGCAGCTCGCGCTCGCCTTTCCCTTCCCTCGCTCCCTCCCTCGCGCCTCCCTCCGCCCTGCTCGGGGCTGCGCGCTCCCTGGGGCCTGCCCGGGCCCCGGGGCTGTCCGCAAAGCGAACGAGGCCCTGTCTGCCCCTACTCCGAGGCTATGCGGCCTCATCTCCGCTCAAGGGTGTGTAACCATCCCGGCTGGGAGCGCTGGAGCTGGGGAGCCTCATTCCCCAGATCCCGCTCGGCAGCGGTCCGGACACAAATCAGCATCTGAAACAAATGAACCCTTTTACTCTACCTCCCAGGCCCTCAGAGGAGCCTCCGCCTCCCTCCATTGCGGCCTGTGTTCTTAGGGCCATATCTTGTGCCTGAGACACGGCCCGCTCATGGAAGAAAGAATTGGAGTGAACCAAACTGTGCTCTGACCCCACCAGACTGGACACCCACAACCTGTCCTGCACGTACTCACGGCTGCCAATCTATGCCAAACCGCTTCAAGACTGAGAAGATGGAAGCCCAGGAGGGCAGGGCAACGGCTTGTTCTTGCAAGACACCCACGTTGTTGGAACCCCTGGCTCCTACAGAGCATCTCAATACTGGTGGAAACAAATTTAAGGAAGGAACAACCCCGGGCACCTGTGGAACAGCCCTCTCCCGGCTCTTCGGGCCTAAGTAAAAGAGATAGAACTGCTGCGGAATTTGTGGAACAAGAGGGTGTCAGAGACAGGGGTGTTTCAAGGACTCTTACTGATACAGTGTATCATGCTTGCCCACAGGAGTCGCCCTGAAACTGTTTTGATTAAGCGAATACAAAAGGGCATCTTCAAAATCTGCAGCTCTCCTGGGGAATTGGAAGACTGCTTAGTACCTGGGTGATCCTGGGAAAGCTAACTGCTTTTTCTGAGTATCTGTTTCTTTACAGAATGAAGGGCTTCGAACAGCACAGGGGCTCTCAAACCCAGCTGGAGTTAATTAGAGTTGACCATTCCCAAGCCCTGTCTCCACAGGTTCAGATTCAGCGAAGTAGGTAGTTTTCAACCAGTTCTGTTAGGTGAACATGACAGAGCTGATCCATGCAGAGATGTTTGGACATGTAGGGCTACTTCATATTCTAGGGTTCTTTAAAATTGCTTATGTCTGTATCCAGGACTCAGATCCTAAATATGGCATGATCAAGATTACCTATGAAGAGGGCCGGGGATTTAGGTCAGCGGTTCGATGGCCTGTCTTGCAAGCGCAAGGACCCGAGTTCAATCCCTGGTACCAAAAAAAGATGACCTATGAAGTGTCTTCTTACTAAGTTGGTCATACATGCTTTCATCCTCCCCAAGGGTAATTATAAAGACAGCTCGAAATTAAATGTGTGATGCGATAGGGTTCTTCTGAATCTTCAAGGCTGGGCTTTCCCTGGCCAAATTGTACTGTGTCTACTCTTAGCTCAGTAAGTAGGTGGTCTTGGATAAATATCTTCCTTTTCTGGACTTGCCTTTCCATCACTTAGAAGATGAAGCCAAAGCAGTAGCTGCCAGAGCTGCTCATCTCACAGTCCTTATAACCAGCAGTTTCAAGTGTAGGTGATTTTTATGGTTTTCTCTAAACTTTAAAAACAACTAAGCAAAACTAATAGCAAGAACTACAAACTTTAAAAATTTTTTTTCTGTTTGCCTTGTTGGGAAGTGAACGAAGGATCTCATACGTGTTAGTCAAATGTTGTACCACCAAGCTACGTCCCCTGACTTTTTTATTTTGTGACAGAGTCCCATTAAGTTTTTCAGATAGGCCTCAAACTTGCTGTCCTGCTGCCTCAGCCTCCAGAGTGGTTGGGAATTCAGGTGTGCACCAACACACCTGGCAAGAACACTTGGTGAAGTCTGGCTTCAAAAAAAAAAAAAAAAAAAAAAAAAGCAACAAAACACGTTGTGGAGAAGACAAAGCTGAACTTTTTATACACAGTCAAAAAGAGTCTTTATGGTGTCTTAGGGACAGAGAACAAGGCTTCAAGATCTGGATGGAGGCCTGCCTTTCAGTGAAGAGGCGCTTAAGTCTGGCTAAGGATTGCGATGCAGTGGTCTGGGGTTGTTGACTACAAGGCGAAGCTTTGGAGGAGTCTTAGGGTGAACAGTCTTTCTGATGCTATCAAAATGTTTACAGGTTCAATGAGATTTTAAGGGAAGTTCTTGAACAATAAAGCTATTTGCAACTTTGAACTTCTTGGGTGAGAGTTTTTTGCAATAAAGACAGCAGAATGGTCAAAGCTCATTAATGTACGTAGTAAATTTCCACCCTGTGTGGGTGTAAATGCTTTCTCAGGTCTTGGATGTCTTGCTCTTCAAAACTTCCTGCCCCTAAGATAATGGTTCATCTCTTGAAAGGCTGATGGAGAATAGGTGATGAATTAAAAATCTGTGCTACTTGAAATATAGCCTATAAGTCAGGGTTGATCTGAATCCTGTTATTAGCCTGCAAAGATATATAGAAATTACATTTTTAGAAACACTGATAGTAACTAATGATGGTCCATTCAGTCTAAATAAAAACTGGAAGCTTATATTTTGAATGCTTTTTTATCTTTCTAATAGTTCTTTTTATTGTATTTTACAAAATATTAGTCTGTGCTGGGTTGGTCCTTTGCCAGAGATCCTTACAGAAATAGTGTGCCTGTTTGCTTGGAGTTCATATAGTTTCTTCTAACATAATGTGTTTAGAATCCTTATGGATATAAATGGATCTGGGTTTTGTTCAGAAGATTAAGTGAGCTAATACACAGGACCTGGCAATAAGGAGATGGAGCCACAATCTTGCTTAATTACAGACACATGCCACACATGCAGAGAATAACTTATACTGCTCCCTCCCATCTAACCTGGTGTTTGCAATTACAGCCCAACTAACAGCTTCCCCCTCCTTCTTGGTCACCGTTTTCATTATAAAGACAGCTTAAAACTAATGTGTGTGATCTTCTGGATCTCAAAGCCAGCCTTTCCCCGAAAGCTGGGCCTAGAATAATTGCACTTGGAAAGAACAATCCCAGACCTATTCTTAGCTCAGTAACTAGGTGGTCTTGAACAAAACTCTTTCCTTCTTGGGCTTCCCTTTTTATCACCTATGAAATCAAGTCAAGGCTGCTAAGGCTAAACATCACACATTCCTTACGACCAACAGTTTTGAGTCTAGGTTTTGAGTATATTTGTGCCCCCTGCTACATGTTGCAGGGAGTCCATGTTAGCACTGCTCTAGTTATTGTTTATTTTTAATTTATTTATGGTGGGGGAGTGAGACAAGGTCTAACTATGTAGTTCAGGCTGACCTTGAACTCACAGCACTCTTCCTGCCTCAGCCTCCCAAGTGCTGGGATTACATGTGTGCTCTACCACCCCCAGCAGCACTACCGTATTTAAATGCTTAACAGTTAAATCAGTAAATGAACTGTGACAGTACAGCAATAAGAAAGAACAATCTTTAGCTATAAGCAGTATGGGAATGTATCTCACAACATGATGTTGAGTGAAAAAAAAACAAGCTACAAAAGAGCACAGACTATCATTTTACTCATAGAAGTTCAGAAACAGACAAAGCAAATCTGTGATACTACCGGTTGGGATAGCAATCAGCTTTGAGCGGGGAGTGATCAAGTAGGGTGCATGAAGCTATGCTAATGTTCTGCTTCTTCTGAGTTCTGGTCCCATGGATATATTCACTTGAAAAATTAATGGACTGTACACTTGATAATTTGAGCAACTTTGTATAGATTGTAAGTCAATTAAAAACAATAATTTATCACAAAAATGATTAATTTCAAAAACAAGCCCTGGAGCTATATACTCTATAGGGTCCTTCTTACTTCTATGGTCTCCTTGTCTAACTCCCTGGGTGGCTCGAGTCAACTGAAAATTCACAGGTCCTAAATCAGGCCAGTGCTGTCTCAGCCCTTCCCGAAGAGTTCTTATTTCTAGCTAGTCTTCTGCTGCCCTTAGCAGCTCAGCAACATTCCTGTTCTGGTCCTGTTAGGTTTTCCTTCCTCAGTAATGCCAACTATTGGGCTTTGTGATTCACAAGGCAGGATTCTGTAGTTGTAAAGAGAGAGGTTTCAATCTCTACTCCACAGCTGGATTGGTAAATATTTGTGCAAGTTGTTTCACCTCTTTCTCTCTCTGGTTTTGTTTTTCTCATATTAAGGTGAACGTTGTTATGGTTTCTGTCTGGAGGTGCCCCCAAAGTCTCATGGGCTCAAAGGTGGGGCTTTTGAAAGGTGACTGGATCATGGGGTGCTGTAGCCAATTATGGTGTTAAGAGGCGGGGCCTGGGTGGAAGAGGTGAGTCACTGTGAGTGTGAATTAGAAAGGTTCATCTCCCTCCCATCCCTTCCCTTCTCTCTCTGCTTCCTGATGGCTATGCTTTGAGCAGCTCTCCTTTGCTGTACCACCCTGATTAGGAGGAATATGGACTGAAACATGAACCAAAATAAACCTTTTCTTCAATTTGTGGGGGCTGGGTCTTGTGTCTCAGTGCCAAGGCTAGACAAATGTTTACCTCATGAGGTTGTTAGGAGGGACAAGAGCGTTAATGAAATAAAATACTCAGCTCATTGCCTGGCACATAATAAGTCTTAACTGAATAGATGCTGGTTACCAGTATCACATTTTTAACTCAAGATGATATCATCATCACCTCCATCTATGGATGAGTAATTTGAAACTCAGTTTAAATAACTTGCTGCGATCATGTCATAGCTGATAGACTAATACCATAGGCCTTAGGATGTCTTCTCCCAATGAATGAGATTGTGATTTTGGATTTCACTAGACTACTGTTTTCTAGCAAGATGGAGTCACATGACTAACTTCTGACCAAGGGGATGTAAGAAAAAGTACCAAATGGCAGCAATAAAAGATGGAAAATGGATATTCAACTTCTTGAATCATAAGGCCCTGTCGTTCAGACTAACATTCCCACTGAAAACGACTGGAAAAGCAGGGCAAAACATAAAATAAATTAGCCGGAGAGCACTGGGAAGCAACGGCATTTATATGGCCAAGATCTTACAAGACCAAGGAGGATCCCAGGTAGGTAAACTCATCATTTGGGAACAGCTTTTCCCCTACCCATCTACCAGTCTCAGGAGAGGAAGCTGAGAGGTGGAGAAGTCGAGCAGGGCAGTTGCAAGGATAAACGGACAAGAGTCAGGGACCAAATGGGGCAGGGTGAGGGGGGTCCCAGGAAGCTCCCCCTTGCTTTGGTCTGGAACTCTAAAAACAGTCCATC